TTTTTTTTTTTTTTTTTTTTTTTTTTTTTTTTTTTTTTTTTTTTTTTTTTTTTTTTTTTTTTCCACGTCAATGATGCTGACATCAGTGCCGCCGTTTCTTGATCTCTCTGGATCCCTTCTTGTGTGATCGCGGATGATGACGTTGCTTCTGCGAATTATCAAATGGCAATGGCAATGGTGATGGGGACTGGGACTGGGACTGGGACTGGAACTGGAACTGGCACTGGGACTGGGACTGGGACTGGGACTGGGACTGAATCTGGGACTGGGACTGGGACTGGGACTGGGACTGGGACTGAGACTGGGACTAATGGCGGATGATCACATCGCTTCTGCGAATTATCGCAATGGTAATGGCGATGGTGATGGTGATGGTGACCACGACTGGGACTGGGCCTGGGCTGGAACTGGGCCTGGGACTGGGGCTGGGACTGGGCTGATGGCGGATGATCACATTGCTTCTGCAAATTATCGGAATGGTGATGGCGATGGCGATGGTGGTGGCGCTGGCGATGATGATGGTGATGGCAATGGTGATGGTGATGGTGATGGTGATGGCAATGGTGATGGTGATGGTGATGGTGACCACGACTGGGACTGGGCCTGGGATGGAACTGGGCCTGGGACTGGGGCTGGGACTGGGGCTGGGACTGGGCTGATGGCGGATGATCACATTGCTTCTGCGAATTATCGGAATGGTGATGGCGCTGGCGATGATGATGGTGATGGTAATGACGACTGGGACTGGGAATGGGACTGCGTTGGCGACTAATGACGAAGGTGCTCGAGATGGATGTGTCGTTTGCTGCATCGCATGACATGTTCGTTACAGTTGTGTCCAAGCTAACGAAACCAGGTCTGAGTTTTCCTTGCATAGTCTCCAAGGTAGCCTTGTCAGGCAAGGTATGTACGACTCTCTATTGTTAATTTTTTTTTTTTTAAAAGGGGAAAAAAAGCTAAGTTATGGTTGCATTGGAGCATATCCGCGTCGTTCATTATGAGCTTCACAGGGACAACAGTCACAACACTAATAGCCATCATCCCAACATAAATAAGTCGTCCACAGATTGCTATTATTTGGTAGAAAAACGAGGGAAAAAAATTCCACGCTCATTGTTTAGGAAAATGGGGGGAAAAAAAGCTATGTTGTGGCTGCATCGTAGTGTATAAAAGGAAAGAAAAAACCTAAGTTATGGTTGCATTGGAGAATATTCGCATCGTTTCTTATGAGCTTCACAGTCACAACACTAATAGCCATCATCCCAACATAAATAAGTCGTCCACAGATTGCTACTATTTGGTAGAAAAACGAGGAAAAAAAGATCCGCGCTGATTGTTTAGGAAAATGGGGGGAAACAAAAGCTATGTTATGGCTGCATCATAGTGTATCTGCATCGTTTCGTAGGGCATACTCACATCAGGACTCTTTTCTACTACGCTCTGGACGAGGTTACGGCCGGATTCATCCAGGTCTGGCCGTGACTGCGGTCAGATACACTGAGGAAAGTGCTTGTGTGAGTATGCCCTTAATAGTTTTACAGTGACTAAACTACCAACTACCGTCTTCACCTGAATAGAACGTCGGGTCGTTATATTCTGTATTTGGATCAACTTTCCATCTATATACAGCGATAACGACAGGGCGTTCTATTCGGGGGTGAAGACAGTAGTAACAAGTCCACAACTCTTTTTTTTTGGTCCCAAAAAAGAAGAAGAAGGGGCGTCGCCATCTGGATTTTTTTTTTTTCCGGGAACGTGGGCCGTGAACAACACCCCCACCTGAAAGGTGGCCTTGTGTCCGATCCCCAGGTACAATCGTCCACCAGATCTATAGATGCAATCATTGCAATGTTAATATGTTATGTATGGCAGAGTCAAAAGGCAGCTCATCTGGACAAGCTGGCCCCCCTTTTTTTTTTGAAACAATGGCGGCTGCGTCAGGTTTTCATTTCCGAAAGGCAGAAAAAAAAAAAAAGCAATAAATGCATATTAAATGGTGATTCAAATTTCAAACACGGCGCAAGTTTGCAATGCGCGACAATTGAAAATGAACATAAAACTGTCCTTCGGCACATCTGTTAAAATTGGGACGATAGAGAGAAGATTAGCATGGCCTCTGCGCAAGGATGACATGCATAAATCGATAAATGGTCCAAATTCAAACAAACAAACAAACAAACAAACCGGCGAACCAACGAACGAACAAAACAAACAAACCAACGAACGAACAAATGGACGGACGAACTGACAAATGAATGAACGAACGAATGAACGAACAGTCTGCACGCCGCGATCCCCACCTGTAAAAAAAAAAAAAAACTGACCCACCTGTTTCAAAAGTCGCGCCGTGCTTGAATCGCCTTTCTTAACTACCGCCGTGTTTGAATCGCCATTTATAGTTTTCTTTTTTTGTCTTTTTGGCAACTCAATTGTGAGAGAATTTTTTTTTGACTGAGGGCACTGCCACACCACTCTCGAAATGTGCAAAATGAGAATGAACTTCCCGCTAGAACATGGCCAGATGCACCTGCCACATTTTTGTCTTTTTCACATTTCGAGAGTGGTGTGGCGAGGCCCTGAAATGTAGCTAGTAGCTACCCTTTCCCCGTTAATGCCGACAAACTGGGCAACCAATGGTAAGCCTCTTTTTTTTTTTTTTTTTTTTTCACTACCGTCTGCCCCCGAAGGGAACGTACGACGTACGGTCATTATCACTGTATCTAGACTGAAAGTTGCTTTATATACAGCTATATCGACCCAGTGTTCTATTTGGGTGAAGATGGCAGCTTTTCATGGACTCCCTTGATCAGCATGCGTGTGGCAACCAGGCCAATCTTCTTTTGACTACCATCTTCTTCACCTGAATACAACCCTGGGTCATTATCGCTGTATGTATCTGGACCGAACGGACCCCAAATACAGCTATAATTACTATAGATTCCAAGGGGGGGGGGGGCGAAGGAAGACATCAGTTTTCATGACTTCTCTTGGCCGGTATGCATGTTGTCACCAGGCTTTTTTTTTTTTTTTTTTTTTNTGTTGTCACCAGGCTTTTTTTTTTTTTTTTTTTTTTTCACCAGCAGACTCACCAGTACATTTCCCAGCCATTTTGCAGAAATGCGCCGTGCATGCTGGCGCGGATGGCTACGCCGGACCCCGACCCCGACCCCGACCCGGACCCGGACCCGATCATCCGACCGGACGCACGTCTGGACCCGTCCGGACATCCGGAGCTCTGGACATTTCTAGACATCCGGACATGCTGTGGTCCGAAACAGCCCAGACTGTCCGGAAATGTCCGGAAATATCAGGACTGAAAGAAAAAAAAAAACGGAAAATCGAAAAGCGCAGTAATGAAATTTATAGTTCTAAATTAGTAGTTGTACTTAGAGAGAATATAGTGTAATACTAATACTATAATAAGTATATAGTACTATATACTATAATGATAGATAATATAGTCCTCTCTCTCTCTCTCTCTCTCTCTCTCTCTCTCTCTCTCTCTCTCTCTCTCTCTCTCTCTGTGCACGAAAACACAAAAAAAACAAAAACATTAAAAAAAACAAGCTCTCACACAAACTCACTTTCGGCCATGTCCGGCCCCAAAAAAATAAATAAAGAAAGGGCCTTAAAACTCACCAAAACAATTTTGGGGGGGGGGCCTCTGGGAAGGGTCCTGGCCGACCAACTTTTTTTTTCTTTTTTTTTTTTAATTTGGCCTCCATTCGGACCTTCCAGACCGGACGTCTGCACACTCGTCTCGATCCGGACCATCTGGATGGCAGTCCGGATGTCCGGATTGTAGCCCTTCTGACGCGTCAGGCGGGATGCACCGGGGTGCCTTGTTTCGCCCGAAATCCCGTCCAGGCTAATCAGGCCTCGCATGCGACCTGTTTTGCCTGGATGGATTTATGGCGAAATGGCGTCCCGTGCATCCTGCCCAATAATGCTCCAGCATGCAGCAAAATGGCTGGGAAACACACTGGTGGGTTAACTAGTTTTTCACAAACTCTCTTCACCAGCGTGCATCTCACAAGCAAGCTACGGTCTTGACCCGAATACAACGTATGGTCATTAATTTTTTTTTTTTATCTCGACTCAAAGTTGCCCCAAATACAGAGCTATAATGAGTGTATGTTCTAAAACGGTATTCACCAGTTCGCAGTAGCGAGTGCAGATCCCAGGGCTCGATCCCTAGTTCCCCATCTTACCTGTGTACAGTATTGGTGTCAACCCGTAGATTTGAACCTGCGACCTGTCGAAACGCCAGTGGTAGGTAGAGTGTCGTAGGTCACAGCTTAGAAGGGAATCGAACTGTAGACTTGTAGGGTAAGAGTCTAGACAGTTCCGAAGTCTTAGCTGKAGGATGYCTAARGGGGCAAAGTCGTAGCTGCTACAGTACCGAAAGKCCAAATCAGAGGGTTCTAGAAGTGGCCTTTCGGAGAAGACCTGCGCTGAACAGAGGCAAGTGGTCAAGYGGTGGTAGGCCACCTCGCTGAGTCAACAGTCCCAGTTAGTCAGTCCGGTCCTGTCCAGCAAGTACCGTCTRGGGCTGTGGGCACATCGGGGACCAGGGGATACAGGGCAGACCAACGCGGCGCCGAAGTATAAATCAAGAGGCTGCGTCCAGCCATTCATTCATTCCTGCGGATGCCATGCGGAAGCGCTGCCTCAGCAGCTTGTGCGAGGAGGTCTGCAGTGTGCCCGAAGACGAAGAGGGCAGAGAAGCGTAGTGTAGCGGTAGGGTAGCGGCAGCTAGCGCTGCCATAGCTGTAGCATAGTGTGTGTGTGTTGCGTGTGAATACAGAGTGTTGCGTGTGGGACATCCAGGGTGATCTCGAGTGTGAACAGTGAGTTGTAAGGGCGCACAGTCGCCATAGTCAGTGGATGCGAACTTACCTGGAAGACATATCTCTGTGTACTGTGTGGGCGCATGTCGCCAGTTGTGTGTTGCTGTTCAGGTGCATGAAAAGAGTGAATAAGTCGAGTCTGATTGCAGTTCTATTCGGGTTAAGACAGTAGCAGCAGCAATGACAAAGCAGTGATCACCCACCAGCACAGGCAATGGCTGGAAGGGGGGAATGAGGCCCTCCCCTGGCTACCGTCTTCCGCCAAACACAACGCACCGTGATTTTTTTGAACGTATACAAGATATCTTTATTTCCAGTGCGATATGATCGTGATGATGGTGTGTTATGTTCGAAGGAAGATGGTAGCACCGGTCAGGACGGGAGTAGAATGCCCTCGCAACATCCACCTCACCGCCCAAATCCCGAGGAGCAGGTCTTCTGCTTCTTCATCCAACTCTGGTCGGTGCTGGTTGTCTCTCACAGCCCAGCTATGGCTGGTGTTGGTCTTCCCTCACGGCCCTACAACTGACGCTTGTCTTCTCTCACAGCTCAGCTATGGCTGGCACGGGTCTTCTCTCACATCTCAGCTATGGCTGGCCTTGGTCTTCTCTCACAGCTCAGCTATGTCTGGTGCTGGTCTGTCGGCTGAAGCCTCCTCGTAGTGGCACAGCTCAAAGCGAGCATCTAGCAACCTCTCCCCGAACTTCCTCTGAACAAGCTGACTTCGACCTTTTTTTTTTTTTTTCAAGTACTCCACTGCTCCATCTATTGGTGGGGAGCAGCACCTGCTGGAAAACGGGTCCAGCGTCCCAGAACATTGTATGCTTTGAGGAACATCTGAAAGCAAGATATGATCTTTGGCTGCCAGCATTTAACTCCAGCCATAAAATACTTCAGCTGGTCTTCTGCCCGGCCTGTAGGTACCGTTGTCCTGAGTCTTCCGGACAAGGCCGTAGTCTATTGGGTCCCAGGGAGTGTGAGCAGTCCCAACCCTTTACCTGACCAGACTTCACTGCGTTGGATCCAAGTCCAGGGTGTCCGGTGTCCTGCTGCCCCAACTTCCTCTGACCAAGCTGACTTTGACTTGCCCTAGCCCTCCTTAAAGATTTTGGCTGGTCTTCTGTTCAGCCGGCAGGCACCAAAGAGCGCGCTGTGCAACAATCGCATAAGCTGGAGCGAGCCGTTACGTATTGGAAACGTGTTTAGTTCTTTCACGAAGTCCTTCATTGGCGAAACAACTATATGTGGTTATGGTGCGCCATGCGTAAGAGAGACACACGAAGTGCTGCACCCTCGTCGACGACCCTGTACTGGGTCTTCCGGACAAGGGCGTAGTCTACAGGGTGGTCCTAGACAACCTGTCCAGGCGAACGCTTGACCTGACGGGCGTTTACTCCTTTGGGCCTGAGTGCAGGGCCTACCGGCCCGCTACTGTCCAGGCGAATGCTTGACCTGACGGGCGTTTACTCCTTTGGGCCTGAGTGCAGGGCCTACCGGCCCGCTACTTTCTGCCTTGAGGCCCTACTGTAGTGGCCTCACTGTCTTTTGTTTTTTGGTTTTGGGGGGGTAGGCGGCGGGGCAAATGCTCATTCCTATTTTCACAGCTGTGATGTACATCTAAATGGACGTACAGCAAAATTGCAGGTTCAAGTGGGAGTCGTGAACCTCTCCGACTTGGACCTCCAACTGAGTCCAACATTGTTTCTCAGACTTTGTTGCTTTTTTTCCCTCTCCTTCAGATTCCCCCTTTCTTCTTTTTCATTTGCTCTCATTCAAGAAGGGCGACGTTTCTGTTTTTTTAACTTTTCCCTCTCCTTCTTTCTTCTTTTTCCTTTGCTCTCGTTTGCGAAGGGCGACGGTGGCCTTCCGATATCATCATCGAAGTTCGAACTGAGGGGCCGCAGGTATTCCGGAACTATAGTATGTCACTCATCGTCCACTGACATTCGAATCGAACTCGGGTATTTCATCAGTTCAGGCGCTTCAGGGGGTATGCCAACTGGTCTGTCGTCCTGAGGAGTCGGCAACTCTGCGTGCGGGGTAAACGAAACGCGTCGAGGGTTGGGCCAGGTGGTTGTTGGTTTCGTTCTGCATCTCTGAATGCTTTAATATTATCCTCTTATTGGATTTTCGAATTGGCGTGCACAACGGAGTGTGCTCTATCTGGGTGGATCTTCTTACTCCGTTCTCGTGCTGGATCCGTTTTTTTTTGCCGGGCAGTTTTCCGTTTCCATTTCCATTTGAGAACTGAGCTATACGGCAGTTGGTGTTTCTTAGACTTTGCTTTCTCTTTTCGTTTTTGTTTTTCGCCTTTCTTTCTTGAGAAGGTGGTAGCCCCTACCGTCTTCACCCGAATAGAACGGCCTGTCATTCTAGCTGTATTTGGCACAACTTTCAGCCCAGATGCGGCGATAATTACCGGGGCGTTCTATTTGGGTGGAGACGGTAGCATTATTGCGGCTATCTTATTCCTTCTGGATTTCATCTCACGATCTGTGATTGTGAAAAAAAAAAAACAACTCACAATCTGTTAACTAAGAGTTACATGTGTGTACCATGCAGCCGCATTGGCTTTGGATACCTCCAGCATAGTAGACTTCGATTCGGATTGCGGGTTTGCGCGAGAGTCCAGAAGAGGTTTTGGTGTCACTTTTCACTAACATATATATCCTCCTGATGAGTCGGTGAAACTCCGACGAAACAGTTTGTCACAGCCCCTCGTTTGTTGTCCTCTTCTCTCTCTCTGCCTACGGTTTACCGGGCAGTTCTGTTTGTGACGATATATATATATATTTTTTATGTTGGCTTTGGTTCAAACTGCAGGTTCGAGTGGGAGTCGCGTACCTCTCCGATTTTCCGTTTGTGCGTAGAGTTTCTGTATCGTTCGTCAGCTCGCCGTCGATGTCTATGAAGGTCAACCTGTTGAAAAGCTCCCTCTCCAGAGGCTTTGATGTGGCAAGTTTTCCCCTCGTTGCATCATTGGTGGTAAGAATTATATCTTTCCTCTTTTCGACAGGTTTTAACTTTTAAGTTTTTTTTGTACAAATTAAGTTTTCCTTTTCGTTTTTCCTTGCATGCGTGTGTCTGTTGCGCGGGCGGGTTGGGGGGGGGGGGGGGGGCAGGGTGGGGTTGAGGGGAGGGGGGAGATCTTAGTGTGCTGAGTGAATCGGTGGTGTTGCTGATGCACATTGCCACGGCCACCAGCAACAGCAATATAGCAAAAGGAGAGCAACAGGGAGAGCTGCTGTCATAGCTGAGAATGGTGAGGTGGAGGCATCGTGGCTTATTTATGTTTGTCGTATCTATGTTTGCCCATCCAACATGTATCTATCTTTGCTTATCTATCTATGTTGAAAGGCTTTTTCACTTTGCAGACTCGAAATTCGAGTCTCAGGGTCAAGTCGAAAAGAGGCAAAGGTCGCGCCGGGTACCCCACAGGCCCCAAAGGCCAAAATGCAACCGGTACCCGGCCTGACAGTCAAGTCCCAAAGTGCTCCAAGGAAAGACTGGAAGGTACTGGGCCTCAATATTCCAAAAGCAAACAGGCCGCGGGCGACCGGTACCAGTAAAAGTCAGGCCCAGGCCAAGTCAAGCAAAAGCCAAGTGAAGTACAAGACCAGTCCAAGTCAATAAGAAGACTGGCCCAGCCTCATTCGAACAGATTGCTCATTCACAAGAAGCTGGAAGCGTTGTTGGTGCTTGTGCGCTATTGCAAGTGGACTGAGCGCTAAGAAGCCCTGTTGGGCAGCGCTATGCTGTGGAAGACAGGCGGCCATAGCCGCCATAGTAGTAGTAGTTGTAGGGCATGAGTGGGAGGCAGATGTATCCAGGGTTGTCATCCTCATGGAGCCAGAGGCAGAGGGAGTTCAAGAGAAGGGAAGAGAGAGAGAGAGAGAGAGAGAGAGAGAGAGAGAGAGAGAGAGAGAGAGAGAGAGAGAGAGAGAGAGAGAGAGAGAGAGAGAGA